GGGGAGTGTAATGTACAGAGAATTTTTGCTGTCGCGGTACAGCGTTGCAACTACTTAAAACTAGACGACAGTTTCTTTCAAATTGCAAACAGTTATAAGGTTTCTTTGCAAGTTAGGGTAAAAGGGTAGCACAGTTTTTTATTTGCCCGTTTTGTGAAGGTGTGGTCTCTGAAAAGGAATGAAAAAAAAGTAAACGAAGTGTTTTTGGTTTTGCCTTAACTTGGCCGTTATCTCCGTTTGATTCTATCACTGGGGTGTACCGTGAAGCTTCATCGCTCCGTCTCGTTGGCATTTTCGTGTTCTACTTTTTATCTTTTTCGGTAAACCAAAGGAGCATACCTCGTACCATCACTTTAGTACCGTCACTTTTGGCCTTTATAATCGTCCTCTGCTTTATTCTGGTTGTCGTTTCTGTATCAATATTGAAGATTCCAATTGTCTTCTAACTTTTTTTCTCTGCTTTTCGCTTTGTGTTATATTTATCGAAGTTTTTTGTTGCGAAGAGAGCGTGAACTGTTTCAACTTTGTCACAGGTTCGGGTCGGTTATGAAACCCAGCCATTTGTCTTTCTCGAATCCACAAAATTCCAGAGCTGGAGTATCTATGTTGCTAGTGAGCCGCCTTCGACTAAACTTCTCTCTGACAGTGGCCAAAGTTAATTTGTATAGTGATGGAAAAGCTATATTTTTTGTACGAAGACAACTTCCTTTTTATTTTTTAAAGTTTTGGAAGTCCAAGAGGAGTGTTTGTAAACGCTATTTGCTCGTTTTGAGTTTGATGTAACTTTGGCTTCGCAGGACTACGTCGTAAGGTTAATCTTTTCCCTAGCCTGTAAGGAACTTTTGACAAGTTTCGATAGTTATGAGCTAGTATGGATTTTTGGCGAAGCGATAACTTGATCTCACTTAACTTGTGTATTCTGAATTTCTGATTCTGCTGTTCAGGGGGAACTTTGAAAAGGGGCAGAAGCAAGTAAGTTATGAAGCAGTAGGTCAGTTCAGCAGTTAGGGTCATAACTTGGCCACTTTTCATAGAGAACGTTAGAAGATTTTCTAAAGGTACATTTTTAGTTTTTGATCTCAGATTCAACTAATTAAGTAGATTTTTTTTGGTATCTAATATTGTATTTACTTGCAATTGATGCATCGTATCTATTCCCGGAGAATTTCTTCTAAAATAACCATAGATTTCAAAACCAATTAGTTTTGAGGATTTTGTGGATGTCGATGAGGCAAATATTGATTGTGATTTTATAGATACTGATTATTCATCTTTGTTATACTGTGTGTATCTTTTTTTGCTTGATACGTGTATGTAAGAATCTGTTTAAGGACTCTTCATTATGCTGTCATTTTAGCACTTTTTTTCGAACAAAGTTCATCTGCTAGCAAAAATCTTGTTTGATGCTACACTTTCTAACGCGAATTACTGGTGACGAAAGCTCAGAAAGAATTCTGTGAGCTTTTTTATGTGGCTAATCAACGTTTGCTATTCTCTTGAAGCATGTTGTTTAGTCTTCTGAGATGTAATTTATAAGCATTCCTTAATATCGTTCGTATTTTTGTTGCTCTTCTCCCCATCTTTTTGTCTTTATGAATTTATTTTTGTAATCATTATTTTTTTTACCTACATTGTATCAATGAAGCTTAAACACATTTACAATAGAGTGTTATCATTACATTGTTTTGCTATCCGTACTTTAATTCAAGGTTTTCAGTGCACGCTTTTTTTTGCTCATATCAAAACTTCTTAAGTGGTTTCATCGTTGAAAATTTTTTTTATTTATTTTTTTTAATGCAGAGATTCGTAATTTCGAAAATGGCTTTAAACCTTCACTCTGACTTTGCGCATAATGCGCCTTGAAAATACGGTTACAAAAGGAAAAAATTTTCCTTAAGTATAAAAAACTTGACAGAGTTCGATTTATGAAAGAGGCAGGAGGTGGAGGGGAATTATCGAGAGGACCTAATACTTACGTCTTTTTTTTTGAAGAAACAAGAATGAACGAGTAAACTTAAGGTGTCAAAGGTTCAAAGTGCTTCCGGATTTTTTGTGGCCTATGGAGACATGTTACTTTTTAAAGACTCGCAAGAATTGGTCACCAAATGTGCAAGAAGTTGGTTGAGAAACGACTGACTTATTTTCCTCTCATTTCTAACAGGCTTGAGAACCATAAAACAGTATAGTTTCCAGCTCAGTATAAGAACGAAATGTATTTTTTTTTACTTTCAAAGCATGCAGGACTTCCTTAAAATTTGAACTGCACAAGGAACACAAAAGATTACTCCCAAAAACTTATCAGTAATTTAACCATATTGGCTATTCACCAAGCGAAACTGAGCTTTATGGCCCAGAATACAAACATTTAACTTAAATTCGCACGATTTTTAAACTTAATCACTTCATTCAGGTTAGAAAATATTCAAGTGCTTAGTATGGTAATTAACTTTGATTTTCCTTGCCACTGTAACATTTCGATAATTTTTTTTTAAAAAACAACCGTGTTAAAGATGTTACTCTAGCAGTAACTACGCTTCTGAATATTCTTCGGCAGAAATGTGTAGGTTCAAAAAGTTTCCAAAATGCTTCGGGCAAAAGATTCTGGAAAGGAAGGGCAAGACATTTTAAAACAGCAGATAGGCAGAAAAGTAGCCCGAAAAGCTTAAAAAATGGTAAGATCCCTCCGCCAAAAACAACATGTTCCTTTTAGTCTACCTTATGCCTGTTGCGTTATTTTCTCCCCGTTTAAAGTAGTAGGACAGTAAAAAGGGCTTTTCTTAGAAAATCCTCTTCCTCTAAGTGGAAGAGGTTTTAAAACTTCATGAATACCTACAACTCTAGCAAAAAACACAATTCCACTGGTGCGCGCAACTAATTCAATGTTTTATTGATTACTGTTGGAGGTGTTTTAAATAAAAGTGATCACATCTGAGTCACCTTCTATGCATTAGACAGAATATGCTTCTTACCTTTACACCTCAGTTCGAAAACACATTTAAAGCAGCTTCAAAGCACAAATCAAACTTCCTTAGCCAGACTAAAAAAACTTTTCACTTGGGTGAGCTTAAAAGACTACAGGCAGTAAACCCAGTCGCAACGGTGCGATAGCGGTCTTGGTCTACGGGGTGAGAAATGTTTGTCTGTTTGAACCCCTATCGAATGAAAAGTGTTTAAAATTGCAATATTGAAAAGTGAATAGAGACCATGAATACTGCTGATTTAATTGACAGAGTTTCGATTTTCAAATAGTAAACTTACACAAAAATTAAACAAACTTTTTCAAGATGCCTAGGATGATCTCGACTGCGTCACCACAACCTGTTCTTTTTACGACTTACCTCCCTCTCATTAGGTGAAGAATGTAACCGCAATATATAATACAACCAAACTGTTGAAAAATCCATGCTCCAAATTAAAACTGTAAAGCGTGGAGCGAGAGAGGGATTCATTATTTAGTCTGGTTGTGGTAAAATTTCGCCGTTCCGTTTCTTGCACTCAGCCTCTGTTCCATTACTCGCGAGATTTTTCTGTTGTACTTGTTAATTCGTGTGACGTTGATTCTATTTATTGTGCTTGAACGTTTTGGCCCTGATGGGCTTTCATTAATATATACGTTTAATTCGCGACTTGTATTTTACGTAGCAGTCTGTATTCGTGTCGCGGGGAGATGTTGGTATAATCGTCCCAACGGGTCAAAAGTCAAAAGTTATAAATTTTTAAAAACCTGAACCACTAACGCAGTACAACTAAGGCAACTAGCTTGAGTAATTTATACTCTTTTTACACCTCTTCCCTTCTCCTGCAAAAAAATGTAAATATTAGACCACTGAGAAGCCTTCTGGACAACCTCTAGGTCTTCAGTAAAGCTGAGAACCAGTGCACTGCCGCGAAGATAATAACAAAAAAATGTCCACTATCAATAGCCAGCATCAAGTTTCAAATGTATGGGTCAGAGCTTAGTGGTAAAGCGAAATAGTCACAATAATTTTAAAGTTTTTTTAAACCAAATACTTGTTACTAAACTAACTATCCAAACTAAAGCACGTTTCATTATAAGAATACTTATGTTGAAACTGGGACGCTGTCATTTGCTGGGACACCAAACGGTGTATTAAATTGAGAAATTCTCGAACGTCTAGTCTCACCAATCACATCTTAACTCACGGTACCATAAAAATACCACCTCGTAATTTTGATACTTCATACAATTATACTTTTAAAAATTTAAAATGCTGTTCTTTAGAAACATAGTTTTTAACTTCCCTTTTTACTATAATTCTTCATAAAATTTATCAGTAGACACAATTCACAATTTTTCCGAATCTACCTCTTGAATAAAATGAAAATTATGGACATTCGTGGTGAATGAATAAAACAACACAATCTTAAAGATGACCATTTTTAGCAAAGACTGCTTTTTTCTCGCAGTTTGTTCTAATTTTGCCGCCAATGCGCTTTTTGGGGTAAATCTTTTTCAATTTTACAATCAGATATCAAGTGCTACAAATTGACAAGGATGTAAAAAATCTGAAAGGTTAAAAAAACAAATGTATGACTTGGTTTAGATTTGCCCGTATCATTTCAGTCTTTTGCAGTTCACACAGAAATTTTATAAATAAGAGAGTCTCCCTCTGCAACCAAATCGTTTTCCACACACTTTAAATTCCGTTATAATGAAAAAAACGAGAACGGGGCAATATATAATCAACGTAACCGCTGCCATCAAAACATTTGTCTGATGGCAAACTGAAATTTTAAACAACGAATACGAAGCAAGCAAAATATCAAATGAACTAAAGGGTTTAAAAGGTAGAAGTACAGACAACAGTGCCGGGAAAAAATCTCAATAAAATGAAGAAATAACGAGTTTTAATGCTAAAAAGCCAGTCACAAATATCTCAAATTAAAACAAAGAAAAAAAAAGCAGAAAATTTCTCAAACACGCAAACTTCCGAAGCTAAGAAGAGATCAGTTTTGGAAGTCCAACTTAAGTCAACTTCCAACATCTGCACAACGTCTGTGCTTTACTAAATAAAAGGTAAGAATAAAGAAAATATGCACGGTAGAAGTAAAAAAAAAAGACAATCATGACTCAAACAATAACTGTAAAAGTAACCTTCAACAAAGACTCATTTATAAAGGAATCCAAAAATTAACATTACGAATATATGGGAGGTACTGACATGCTTAAAGCTTCCCATTCAACTGGGAAAAAGCAAAGTGAAGCAAGAACCGCAAAAACTGTCATGATTAGCAACTGCCAATGAAGTAGCAACACTGACCCATAAAAAAAGCTGATGCAAGCCGCCAGTGACTGTAAAAAATGTCAAATCTTAGCAGAAGAACCATAAAAAATTGACTTTGAAACTGTCGATCAAAGAAGAAACTAATCGTAAATGTCTCTACATACCTGGAAGAATTTAAACAAAGCGAAAGCATTCGAACTGTTAATGCTATATAAACAACCCAAAAGCGAATAAATCTGCGTGTTCCAGCAACTGTCAGCGAAGCCTAGCAGAAAACTGCAGACCAAAGCAAGAGTATAACTGAAATAAAATTTCTTCACTAAAAAAGTCTAGTTACAGTAATAAGTGCATTCTGAAATAGTATTCAATGTTTTTCATACCTCGGCGTAATGTATCCTTGCGCGCCAGTTTTATGCAAGGGGGCTTCCATTGGAATATTCAAGAATATCAAGAAGAAAGTTGTTATATGAACTACAGTTCCCAAAAAAATTACGGGATTACGACCGCTGAACACCGTTCTTCTTGAGAAAATACCAAACAGCAGTCCACCTTAAAAATTTTTACCCGACGCCAAAAACTAATCTGATAAATTTACATGCTTAAAGCTCTGGTTTGGTGTGAATGACCAAAAAAAAAACCACAAAAGTTTTTTGCTGAAACTCTCTCAAAACGCATACTTATGGTAAACAAAGAATAAAATCTTACACTGATGCAAATTAGAGCCTCTACATAAAAAACCTCAAGTGTGTATAACGAAAGTCTATTTTACTAACCTACAATCTGTCCTGCGCCTAAAAGAAAAGCATTGTATGCAACGATAACACCATGGTTATCGTCCAAAGCTAAGAAAGCCAGTAAGCACGTGGAGTAAACACCGCTAAAGAAGGTCAGCTCAAGACCAGAAAACACAAAAACAAACGAGAGGAGCAACATACGACGTGTCGTTAAAAGTCGCAAGGTATTTCCTAAAGCGGAATACGCAAATTACGCTCAAGATCGCCATAAAACTTTCGAAAAGTCAGTGCACAAGACTACAGAAAGAAATATTAAGAAATATAATGAACTCACGAAATTCATCTTTCCAAGTTGTAATATTGGCCGCAACAGAGGAACGAACAATCCTTGTCATAGAATTTGATCTTCCTTCAACGACATTAACGTCGTCATCATCATCGTCGCTGAGTTCTTGCTGCTCAACGGGTGGTTTCGGAAGAAGTGCCAACGTAAGAACGCCAACCGCACATACAGAAGCAAATATCAAATACAGGAGTCGCATAGAAGATGCCAAAGAGCTGTAGAAAAGCAAAATCATGCTCAATCACTACAACTTTCAAAGAGAACTCTAAAGGAATAAGTCTTTGTTCTTCTGAAGATGAAACAGCACTTTCTCATTCTAATCTCACACACGAACGACGGTAAAATCTAGGCGAGAATTCAGAACGATGCGGGAAACGACTAAGCACCATTAACTAAGTGCAGGTCTTAATCAGTTCGAAGTCAAACAGTCAAGTTTTTAACCACCCGGAAAGAACAATTACTGAGGGTTTAAAAAAGCGTGCAACTATTCTCTACAAAGGAAAATCTCTAAGCTCAAGACAAGAAAAGTTTGAAAAAGAAGACAATTTGATATAGAAGGAAGTGTGTAAGCGTAGTTTTCAAAGCCACAGAAGTTTTTAACGGAATACACAGAACGAACAACGGGTATACTCGGAAGTTAGAAAAATAAGAGAAAAATTTACGCGACAGTCAAGAGAAAAACCGAAAGAAACTGTAAAGTACCTATTTCAAAGTCAGCAAGCAGAACCTTATTGAAGATTGTTAAATGCAATAAACAATTTTTTGACGGAACTTTTACTAGTACTGTAAGCTATTACAATTTGATTCTCTAATTTACTTCAGCTATCCAGAAGCAAAATTTTTTTGTAATGAAATTAAGCTGGTATAAAAATAAACTACGTTATTACCCCCAAGTACTACAAAAAAGAAACCACAAAACATCTACGGCCAAATAACCTACTTCACCCTCCCCTTCACCTTACTCTTGGCTCACTTTTCGCTGCATGTGAGACTATAAGGAGAAAGCAGTGATAAAACATACATCCAGAAGACAAATACTTAAGAAATTTCTTCGAAACAATGCCGAAAATACAGAATGTGAATATGAAACTAATTCTTCTTTATGACATTCAAAAAACAGTACTCTGAAAGCAGCAATGAAAATAGAAAAACGCCGCCAAACACTAAGCAGGTCTGCAGTAGCGCCCAAGTTATACCGCTATTTCTTGTGATCGTATCAACTCTTGACCATGCAACCATATAAGCGCCCTGCCCAGTCCATAACACTTAAAGAAGTAAAATTCATTTAATAAGCTTAATTAATTAGAAAGATTTTTATACATTTTAATCACATTTATACGACCTTAACAGAAAGAGTTGTAGACTACTAGTGTTTTAAATACCTGTTAGGTAAGAATTTGTAAGTTTTTTACTTACCAGCAGCACCAAATCCAGCTAGGGCAGAAAGAAGGTATAGGCTTACTGAATTTAAACAAAAGAAGCCAAGCATGAAAAATACATATGTGCTCCCACCAAATGCCATGGCCCACTTGGAACCGAGAATATTAATTATGGGGGGAGCGAAGAAATTAGATATTGTGAAGAAAAAGTAGATAATCGCCAAACTGAAATTTTTCTGAGTCAGATTTAACTATGTGTACCAATGACAAAACGTAAATATTTAAAGTACACTTCCATCCTAAAAACAAGGTCTGATTTTCATTACAAACTTTAGAAAGGAACAAAGAAGCACCTGTAGTATCCTGACTTATCATTAATCCCTGAAGACGGATCGTCACGAGCCACATCTCTTAGATAAGAAATCTAAAACAATGTTTCAAAGTTGTGGAAGATCTAGCTAGTGATTTGAACGATTCACTAAAAAGTACACTTCATTAGAAAGACTAACCTGACTCCGATATTGTGCAACCAGTCACACTCAAAGATAAATTAAATCAGAGCAACACAGATTATAGGTAGATACTAAAAGAAAATTTGCACAACATAGTAAAAACCTCAATGAATCCTTGGCTGTTGAAAGCGGAAAAAATCAGCATAAACGCAATTCCCAAATGGATAATCGCACGCAAATCCTTTTCCATGTTTAGCACTCGGCGGCGAAGAGTACGGCAACTCATTCAAATGTTTATCAGATAAATGCCTCCTTACTCACTGAAACGAAACTAACTAGGTTTCAGCGATGCAAGAAAAAAAAAAGAAAAGAAAAAAATGAAATAAAATAAAATGAAATAAGAGTAACAACAATAAAAAAAAATAATAAGATAAATTAATAAGTATGTATAAGAAAGTATACAAAATAAGTGCAGATAGGTGCGACTAAAAGCATTCAGTGGCAGAACAAAAAGAGCAAAACCTTTCTTGCCACCCAAACAGTTCATTTTTCCTGAATCAATAAAAAACTTTATTTTTACTGCCAATATAACTAAAAATAAATAAAAAGTCAAATTCATACTAAAAACTGAAAGAAAATCCATGATATCAGAAAAAGAAATGTATCAGAACTGTATCAGAAAAAACAAAGATCAAAAATTTTTTAAGTATAGACTTGCTGTAACTGCTGAACGCTGAGGTGACTGTTAGCTATCTATAGTCATGCAGTCAGAAGAATAAGAAGCAACAAAATCGATCCCAAGAAAGAAAAGGAAACCTGGACTGAGTAGAAAGATGAAAGGTTACTGCCAATAAAGTTTGTCATGCCGTAACAGCAGTGCAACTGTATTGAACGGGTACTAACCGACAGCTGATAACAACAGATTTATTTAGTGACGGTCATGCAATCTAAGTTTAAGAAACTCATTCTCATGCGTCGGCAAATTGCCAACTCCCGAAAATTTCGTCTCAACATTTAGTCCTCAACGCTTTGCCGCTGAAGATAGTTGCACAGTAGTAGGCAAACTACCGTCCCCTTTCACCGAAATTTTTTCCATCGCCTTGCAATTAGATGTTGGGTAAAGAGACTGGGAAAAGTGAAACTCGCCTGTTGAATGCGGTAAGATGATATGGAAAAGTGATATAGGTGTTAACACAGGAAATATGCTTTAATTAATAAAATTTTTCTTGCACGAAGCGAAAGTTAGAAGCAGCTGTAAAGTCATTGAAAATACTAAGCCTAAGTTTCTGCGCTGCTTATTAATCCGAAAGGTGTCAGTAAAGAAATTCAGCAAGGTTCCTGTTGTCTTACTGTTTCTGCATCAAATAAGATTTATGTTCTGGTTTTTGATCATCTTTTAGGTGATTAAAAATTGCATATTTTTTTTTATCTTCTCAAAATTCCGACCTGATCGCTCCTCCAAATTCAGAAAATCTAAAGACAGCTGGACGTAGTGATGTGAAAGGAAAAATGTTGTTCTTAGAAGAGAAATATGAGAGACGAAAGAAAAAAAACACCTAAAGACTCTCCAGCATGGTGTAACTTCATATATCTTGAATTCACGTCTTTTAAGCGGCCTATCAATAATTTTACTTGCTTCACTCCACTGTTACACTATTCGCACATGCACTTTAAATTCCCAACAAACTGAAAAAGTATACTTTACGGTACATTACCCTACACTACTGCTTTCTGAAAACATAGTTTGTTCCAATTCTGCTGTCTCTCATTCGCAGTTTCAGATGGACGGTCCACTGCAACGGATTGATGGTAATACGGCATAAGCACTACGGATTACAACGAAAATAAGAGGAGAAAGTGAAATACATACCTCCCTTTACAGAGAATACAGGAAAATAAAAGCAAGGGTACTTTTTCGTTACTTATCACGACAAGAACTTTTTAATGTCTTGTGTTTGGCCCTGACGGCGTTGAGAAGCATACTGCCAGAAGATCTCTAATCTAAAATTTTTCATCTAACCGCATGGCTGATTTAACAGTACAAAAAAAGCGTAGCAGAGGAGATTGGAAACAACTCTGGTCAGAAAAAGGCCAAACCCATTAAATGGTTTCTGTGCGTTTAGGCATCGCTCGATCATAGTCTTTACTACTTTTTATACAACGTTGTATTGGTATTCTTTTCGCATTTTTACACTATTCGCCTCGTAATGTTGATAATTTATGATATAATTCCATCAAAAGCTTTGGCATAGAAATCTATACATTTTTCTTCGTTTTACTCAAAAAAAAAAAAAAAAAAAAAAAAAAGTTATTCTATGTGACTCTATATAAACAAGACTACCCAAATATTTGAGCGCGTGGACAAGGGTAACCTAAGTTAAAAGAAGAATATATTCTAAGTTTACCACACCCTCTGAGTTACGTAGCACTGTCACTGAGTTTTACGACGATATAATCTGCCGTATAACGTTCAAAACTTGCTTGAAGCTTGAAACTTCTTTTTGATATGAGGACCACTGCAATCAGCATATTACTGCTGACATGTTACGAATGCAGTTATTCTATCGACCAAAGGTCTACACTTCCGCAGTTTGAAAAAAAAACTGTTGGAGATAGGCTCCAAATGACTGCTAGTTTCGGAAACTGCGGCTCAGCTGTACAATCTAAGAGCTTGATCAAGCCAGAGTTTTTTAGAGACAAAGCGAGAAAGTACAAACGCCAAGAGAGAAATCCGGCTCCCGCTGTCAAAGTTAATCTTTGGTTTGAAGTACATGACGTGATCTATCATTATCCTGATGATACAATGAAGCTCCTCTGTCTAGTAAAGCTGAGCTTATTTTCAGCAGTTCACTCATAGTACTTTCAAGGAAGATTCAGATCCCGCTGTTATAGTTAATTTCTGAAGAAGAACTTAGTAACCTATGAGCAGATTGGAAAATAACAACTGGTATTTCTTATAAAGACGAGTTTGCGTATTTGCAAATTTGATCCATTCAAAAACTTTTGTACCCTAGAATGATAGATAAGTCCAGATCTCTATGAATTCTCCCGATCACTTTATGCGATACCCAATTGACAAGCACCTTTCGTAGTTACACGTAGATAGCAGAGATGGAAACTCAAAGCGACATTTATCGCTAACCGTTCTTCATTTTCTTTGGATCAGACTCTACAATTCTTTTTGGTATCAATATACATTTTAGAAGATCTACACCTTTCATGGCATTTTTAAGCGTTAGTTTCCTGCAACAAAAATTTTTAATCAATATAGCGTTGCAACAAATTTTGAGAGAGTCTAATGTCTAAACTTTTTCAGAGGCTGTTTAAAGCAGAATGTTACACTTTGCAATTGCTTCTGTGATCAATGTAGCTGTATAGCTGCAGCAGCAGACATATGAGGAAACGACAGAAAGCAAATATTAAGTGAAACCATAGAAGCTAACTTAAATTAATGTAAACAGAAAAGGATGCAAACTTAAAATTTTTAAGGTTATCTTTTTTCATCAAGGTCAAAAAAAAAAAAAAAAGAAAAAAAATTTCTACGCCCTTTGAAATGCACTGGTACACTTTGCGTATTATAACAGCAACGCATTATTTAAAGGAACAGAAACCAATACTAACTGTATGTTTCACATATACCTTCGTACAAAATGAAGTTTTCCAGATGTATATTCAGAAAACTATATAACAAAGCCAAAAATTTTAATAAAAACAGTGCTGGGATGGTTTCTTCTTCCTCTTATTTGGCATTTTAAACCCAGTTTATATTTAAAATTTTTACCAAAGGAGATAGCAAACATAAAGCCATAATTAGAGCCGTTTTAAATGAACCACAAAACGACTTTCAAAGCTGCAACCTGCTGGTCCGTAACAGCGGCGTGTTATGGAAACTGCCTACTCCGCTTCTGTCAGCAAAACGACGCCCACTTTGGCTTTGCACGTTTGACGCATCCAATGATAAACGAGGAACCAAACAAAATGACGAAGAACTGTTCTCGTGGCAGCCAAAACAAACTGAAAAAAAAAAGTCAGATAAAGAATTTTATACGCGTAGTCAGTGACTTTTTTCGCTCTGTACAGATGGTAGCCAGTTGACTAAACACTACATACTGCATGTTTTGGACCGCTGATGAATAAGTCTTAAAAAAAACTTTTTCAAATTTTTAAGAATGACCGGAATTAATAGAAAAAACAATGAAAGAAATATTGTCGGTCATTTTGAGGAAGATGGATCATGCTGTGCCGATGACAGAAACTGAAGAACTTCAGAGGTGAGTGAGGACGAATTAGTATGCGGAGTTATCAGCTTTTATTCGACAATAAACTCAGGTAGACCGACTTCGGTTTTATCGTGATTCAACAATAAAGTATCTTTCAAACAACGTTTTTCACGTGTTCTCAAAAAACAGTTGCGTTATATCACAGTTCTTAATTTTGACCAAGTGATTCTTATGTCTATTAGTGTTCTTTAATTTTATGCAGGACATGGAAAACTCCGCATCTAAAGCGTAATTCCAAAAAGTTCTACGTCCTAATACAGGATGCCAGCGAACTAAGCCTTGAAACGCCATGGTTAGGGTTGAAAAAGTTGATGACTGCTACAACTTCCACAAAATTCAACCCAGTAGTAATTGACTGCTCTGAAAGCTACAATTTGGGCCAAAGTTTTGAGACATTTCAACTTTTTAGAAAAAATAATATTTTACCACGTGGAAGGACACTGATCTCCTCAAGTTATTCAAGTGAATCTTTCAATGTTTGCTCAAAAAGCAATAAAAAAATGTTTTCTGTTTTAGAAAATTGGCAGTCTCCAAATAGAGCGTTTTCTTCTTGCACGATTAATTCAAAAAGTACTGATCTGAAGGTAAAAGACTTGGATGATTAAAAGTGGTGAGGTGCAGGTCTCAAAATACAGTCTATCAGTTTCGTTCAGTGTCTCCTGCGGTATCTGTATTCAAATTTTCTCAAAGCAGGATCCGACAATGCTTGTTCAGCAGAGTTGGTCCTGTTTGCAAATCTTTTTTGTCGACAACTCGATTTAGGTGAAGCAACACGCTGTGATAACTTCCTGTCTGTTTCGGGCCAGACTGGAAAAAAGTGGCTGCTTTTTTCAGTCCTGATGCTGGAGACACTTTCCTTTGGTAACAAAACCAAGTTCAAAGTTCACGTATTATGAATGAGTTCTGTTCAAAAACTAATAAATGCTTTCGGTGCATGCGTTTCTTGCTCTTTATTAAAATCAAGTTCGCTATCAGTCTGCTGTAGCATGTCAAACATCTTGTTTAA